CCTCCCTGCCTCTTTCCCCTGACCTGCCCCCTCCTCGAGACCCTCCCCCCATCCTAACCTGGCCCCCTAGGACCCTACCCCCTACCTGTACCCAGATTGCCCCAACCCTTATCCACACCCCCACCCCCAGACAGACCCCTGGGACTCCCACGCCCCATCCAACCACTCTGGCTGCCAGAGCCCCATGCGAGCGGCTGAATTTCCTGCAGCCCTCCCAGCCGCGCCTCGCTCTGCATGGGGGGGAAATCCCGGACATTTTTAGTGATTTACAAATTCCCCCCCAGACGCTATTTTTAACACAAAAAGGAGGACATGTCTGGGTAAATCCGGACGAATGGTAACCCTAATTTACCCCTTTGAAGGATTAAGCTACAGCAAACTAAAGCCACCTCACTTTTGAATGAGAGCGTCCACACAGAGATTTAATGTGCTTTAACAGTGCGTTAACTTCACAGCTTTAGTTGATTTGTCTTAACTTTCCTGGGTGTTTCTGTATAGACAAGCTCTGAGTGTATTCTCACTTACACATGTTTAAATTCAGAGCAAGTCCATTGTCCTCAGGAGATTTACTTTACATTTGCGCCGTAGCAATTACAAACATAATTAAGCCCAAACTTATTTGTATTTTAAAATTACAATGCAATATTATAAAGTGGAACAGCCATGTATTATATATTTATGTAAAATATGGTGTGCATGTGTGTTTTGGACTATATTTTATGCATACTGATAAATGCTCTGTTTAATGTGTAACTAAGTAGTTTCAGTACAGAGAATTCTGGAGTCAGTTTAATCTGATGATGCAAACAATGCTATTTAGTGTTAACTCATTGAGCTTGTTTGTAATAACCATACTGGATTCACAGGCTGTCCATCACAATCAACCCATCTATGAAGCAACATGCAGAACTCTCTGTAATTCCTAGGGAAGCCCTTTCTTCCATTTCCTTATTGATTTTCCTTTTCTATGATGATGAGCATCAATGTTCTTATGTTTTCGGGAGGGAGGGGGGAAATAATTCTAAAAAAGCCAATGTTTTCCTCAGTGTCTATAAACAAGTATTTCTACCAAATATCCTTCTAGAATTAGGATTCTAACAAAACACATTTTTCCACAAAATTTTGTTACCTTTACTTTTGCTCAAATTAGATCTGCTTGATTTGTATACATGCTAGATTTTCCAGAGTTATAAGATGTTAAAGACACACAACTATTTTTTACTGGCCGTCCAAAGACCTGGAAGAACTAAGTCTCAGTGATTTGTATTTTTTTACTATGTTGATGTAATATCATTCTTGTCCTCATTAATTACAGAATTGTTTTAGCAGTAGCTGGGAGGAAATTAAAGATCTTTAGATTTTTGTTCTTTGCTGTGAATCAAATCCTGAATGCAAGGAAAGTGGTGTAACCACTGCCTAAAAATGTGCTCATGCACTGCAAAACTAGCATTAATATGGCCCTAATTCTGACTGCAAGCACTAGGTATGGAATATACTCGCTTTGTGTGTGTGAGTGGATGATATTCTCATGTAATGGCTGGTCCGCAAAGAGGATAAGGACCTACCACTCCAGAGTTCCCCCTTAGCTGAATCTGTGGTAGTTTTTTGAAGCTGAAGGACCAGGATTCTGTTCCCAGTTCCTCAGAATGGGGGCAGGGTTATATACAGCAATTGTCTGCTGTCTCCAGCACATGGATTTATCCCTAGTGTCAGAATAATCCTGATGGGAGTTGTGAGTAGAGACTGTTCCTGGGACAGGGAGTGTGTGTGTGCATTAACATGCAACCCTTAATACTGTCTTCTATAGCGTGATAGCAGCATCCTGTTAAAGTTAGATTTTGCCACTGCTGGAGTAGCCAGTCTGAGTTCCGAGCTCCCACTGCTGCCTTCTTGGTTTGATTTACACCTGTGCACATTGTCTGTCAGAATCGGGCTCTGTATCTACAGGGGGTGGGGTGGGAAATTGTGAATTGCTGTTGCATTACAGAAAACCGTTCAGAAAAAAGTACTTCCAATATTCATATCTATGAGACTGTTACAAGTCTGATATTCTGTTCCCCTAGAAATAGGAGCTATATTCAAACAAGTCTGTCTCTATAGGAAGATACAGTATATCCTGTCTAGCTCACAAGTGGGTGATGGTACAGAAGCACAAGGTCTCCTCTAGGAAGAATGCTTGTTTGCATGTTACCGGTAGAACTGATTTGAAAATTTCTCTTAAAATAAAAAAATTCAACGCAAATTCTTTTGTTGAAAATGTTTAGTTATTTTGTTTTCTAACCAACTCTAATTACCAGTGAGAGAGATGTAATTATTTTATTGGGAAATATAGTCACTGTGGAAATAACGGAGCAATGTAGCTCTTCCTACCTATTTGCATATTCATATATGTATATAACATATTATTGACCCCATAAAGGTGTGATCTGAAAATCATTGTCATTCAACTCATTTTAAAGAGCTGAGACTGGGTGATAAAAAAAAATTCCCAGTTTTTGAAGTCGATTGAAATCTAAAGTTATTTCCTTGCAATAAGTGAACACTATCTGAAATATGAAAGCTAATGTATCTTTCAACGTATTTTCATGCTGTATATGCAGGTATTTTTAAACAGTAATAATTAAAATCTTCCTTCAGATTCTTCTACATAATTCTGAGCTAGCCAAACATAGTCACATTAAAACCTCTTTATAAGTCTCTGCCATAGTAGTTTTAAGACACTTGATTGCTAACAGAATTAGAGAAAAGAATTTACATTAATGCGAAGAAATACGCTTCTCAGGGCATGTGTAAAAGTTTATATTTCAAAGAACGGCAAATGCACTGAAATGAAGAATACTAGACTCAGTCATGTGTTGGATTGTGGAATGATTCATATACCATGCTGAGCTTTTAAGTATTCTGTCTATTGTTGATGGTAGGTTTCCAAATTGTAATCATATGTTTCTCTTTTTTGTTGCAGCTGGTCTCCAATGTTCTCATCTTCTCCTGCACAAACATTGTAGGAGTGTGTACGCATTACCCAGCAGAGGTGTCTCAAAGACAAGCATTCCAAGAGACCAGGGAGTGCATTCAGGCCAGGCTACATTCTCAAAGGGAGAACCAGCAACAGGTACGAAGGAGAGTGACAAGAAATTTGAGAATGGAACTGCTGATTTGGAATTAGTCTGAAAATTGTTAATTTAGGGCCAGGTACTGAATGACCCTGTGTGAAAATGCATCGTGGATGGCAGGGCAGGATTTGGGAAGGTGGAGAAGAGAGCTCAGAGGAACCTTTTTACTCAGCTACCCTTATAGACCAGTGTTCAGGGGTGCCAACAAAATCCTGCTGCCTGTGCTCCCTGTATGAAATTCACCCTAAGCAGAGGATTTGCACCTTGTTATGCACCATTTAAGTCCCATCTAAGCCTATCTTGAGCACGAGTGGCATATGGGCCTTGTGCTGGCCCTCTGAACAGGGCGTATACTTCACTCCATCATAAGTGCACAGCATGATGATTTGTCAGCACAGCAAATAGCATATGGTAGTGGTAGGGCTGTTGTTTGGCTCTTCTGCACACATTAGCAGCTGGAGGCCAATTGTGGCAGAAATTAAGTAGTTCCCCATAGAGGGTGCTGCCCCAGTGCCTCCAAAGGCATTCTTCTATCTGTCTCTAGAGCATCCTCACTTCACATTGTGTGTGTGGCTTTGAACACAACACTACAGGCTTCCGCTGACTTACATTTTAGTTTTTAACCATTTTTAATGTCCTCACTTAGTGTTTGTTAGAAAAAGGCCTAATTGCTATCAGCACACAGTCTTGCTCTCAAGGGCTGTGGGCATATCTATTTGCTAATACAGTCTTTGGTTTTGCTACAATGAGTCTCTTACATCATAATAATTAGAGATGAAAAAACTTTTTAGGTCAGCTTGTCCATTCCCTTGATAATGTGGGGCCATGCCGTGCAGTAAATTTTCCAGTCCAGTTTTAAATAACTCATGAAATGAGGTTTCTGTGGCTTCCCTTGAGAAGTACCTTACAGTTTTGATTGTGAGTTCAGATAGGAGGGGAATGAATCAGTTGAAATGGCTGTGCATTTCTGTGAGTCAGAAGGGCAACACAACTTTCACTATACTACTCTGCTTTAGCGCACCTGCCTCTGTAGATCTGGCCATGGACAGTGTTATTCTGGGCTACTTTTGGCCAACATGGGCACCATGAAATGAAGTATGTATGAATACCTAAGCATATTTTAATTATTTTGACATCTGGTACATAAAGAGTATCCATTTCATGCACTAAGTGTAGGGTTGCCAGTAGTCTGGTTTTCGACTGGTATGCCTGGTCGAAAAGGGATCCTGACAGCTCCGGTCAGCACCGCTGACCAGGTCACTAAAAGTCTGGTTGGCAGCGCAGCAGAGCTAAGGCAGGCTCCCTGCCTGCCATGGCTCCGCGCAGCTCCTGGAAGCAACGGCATGCCCCCAACCCTCCGGCTCCTACAAGTAGGGGTAGCCAGGGGGCTCCACACGCTGGCACTGCAGCTCCCATTGGCCAGGAAATGTGGCCAATGGGAGCTGCAGGGGCGGTGCCTGTGAACGGGGCAGCACGCAAGGCTGCCTGGCCATGCCTCCGCATAGGAGCTGGAGGGGGGACATGCTGCTGCTTCCAGGAGCAGCCTGAGGTAAGTGCCGCCCGGAGCCTGCATCCCTGACCCCCTCCCCAGGCTCCAACCCCCAGTCCCAGCCCTGATCCCCCTCCCACCCTCCGAACCCCTCGGCCCCAGCCCGGAGCCCCCTCCTGCAGCCCCAAACCCCTCATCCCTGGCCCCACCCCAGAGCCCACACCCCCAGTTGGAGCCCTCACCCCAATCCCCTGCCGCAGCCCTGATCCCCCTCCCGCCCTCCAAACCCCTCGGTCCCAGCCCGGAGCCCCCTCCTGCACCCCAAACCCCTCATCCCTGGCCCCACCCCCGCACCCCCAGCCGGAGTCCCCACCCGGAGTCCCCACCCCCTCCTGCATCCCAACCCCCTGCCCCAGCCTGGTGGAAATAAGCGAGTGAGTGAGTGTGGGAAGAGCGAGCGACAGAGAGAGGGGGGATGGAGTGAGCAGGGAGCGGGGAAAGGTTGTTCGGTTTTGTGCGAGTAGAAAGTTGGCAACCATAACTAGGGTTACCATATTTTGTGCCTCCTAATGGAGGACACTCCCGGGGGCCCCGGCCCCGCCCCCAGCCCCGCCCACGCCCCCGCCCCTGCCCCAACTCCG